TACATATAAAAATTTGGGTTGAAATGAAATATTTTTTGCATGGTTAATAGAGAATGTGATGAAATTTTTATGAATGTATGTTAAAACGGGTCATGGAAACACTAATGGTATCTCAGGACAAAAATTAGTTCTTTAAATTGATCGATTTCCATGGTGATTGATGATAGACTCTGTATATCTTTCAGGTACTGTGTATTAAGAACACAGTACTAGATTAAGAATGAACTTTTTAATGCATTCTCTGAAATACTTTGTGATCATAACAATCAAAACCTAAAAATGAAGCTTTAGTGCTTCCTGGAAGATGTTGTTTCTTCATTGTCTCTTCATCAGGAAGTAAATCCTCCAGGATAACTGGTCTAACGCACTCATACAAAGGCTGCTGCCCTTCCACTGCTTCTGCACCTTTGGATCTGACACATTATATATAATTACAAAAGTCACTAACTGAATTTTCTAAGGAAAAAGAGGAGTTTAATTCCAGAAGTTTAAGTTCTGCAGCAAAAAATCAAAACAAAATGTCTGATTTGCTTAATAAAATAAAATGAAGTAAAATTTAAAAAAAGGATTACTGAACTGCGTAGCTATTAATTGATTTGAAAATCTGAATGTTCAATTCCTTTTCAGATGAGAAGACAATTTCAGATAAGACAAAATATCATAGAAAAAGCTGTATTAATAACTACCAATTTAAGCCAATCATTTGAGCAACTGAAAATAAATTTGTAGTATGTTTCTGTGTATATAATAGCAAATTTTCTGTTGAAAAATACTGAACTAAACCCGGTATCCTTCTTGATAGTTTCATATGGAAATTGACATAAATGTACACATTTTGCTAATATTAGAAATTAACATTAATCTGCTCCTTTAAATCATACTCAATCTGAATGCATATTTTTCCTATGTTATCTGGCAGTATTTATTTGCTCCACTTTGTAAGTCAGCAAGTACTACAAGGTTAAAAAAAAATAAAAATAAAAAGCTGTGTGTTTGCACTTAATAAAAGCGCAGTTTCACAAAATTGTAAAATATGGAAATTTTTCTGCTCTCTGTTCATGTTTATTTGAGAACATCAGTTCATCCATACCAGTTTTTTGGTGATGTTTTTCTCCTCTTGCAAGTGTTAGAAAATCTTTCCCAAGAAGACTTTATGTGAGTTGTTGAAAGCTTTATTTTGAGCAGATTCTGCATCTGACCTGAAGATCATCAGAAGTCATGAAATCTTTATAAAGAGGAAGGGCAAAAAAGTTAACGACAGTTTTTGCATGTCTACTTGTTTACTTTATTTATTTTTTTTAAGTGGTTCTGTAGACATCAGTTGGTTGAAATGAATTTAATTATTTTCTTCTTAGTAGGTGCAGTTCAGGCAGTTTTGGTGTTCAGTCACAGAACTAACTTGTCCAAAAATTTGGAATGTTGGTAATTAATTCCTTTACAGCAGCTTGAAAGTTTTGCAGCTTATAGGAAGAATTTTATGTGATAGGAATTCAGTTCATAGGAATGCTTGTCTGGTCAATGTAGTACAAATGTTACTATTTAGAGATACTAATGTAAGAACAAAGCATAGTCAATCATATCAGGAACCACCTACACATGCTCTAGAAATAAACTGATGGAATTCAGTAGACTACTGAGATATGAGTTTCTGTGTTGCTCATATACAGTATAGGATTGTTTGTTTGTTTGTTTGCCTACATTTCAGGTCAGCAATCTGTTAACTCCTATTCTCCAACAAGTTTTAAGGCTTTAGTTGATTATGAGTTTTATGAAATTCTCCATTTACTTTGCTTCACTTGAATTCAGTGGAAGTTTTCTGTCTGCACAAAGCAACAGGCAGAGTTGAGAGCTTTTAAAAAGTCTTATCCCAGAAAACCAGCACTGATTTGTACAAGAGGTACAAGAGGCCTTAAATCACTCCACCACCACCACCACCACCAAAAAAAAAAAAAAAAAAAAAAAAAAAAGGAAATTATTTCCAATGCAGTATTGCTTAGTATGCCTGTTTACAGGAAATATGACCTGAACAAAAGCCAAAATAAGCTTCCAAGAAAAATTAGTGGAACTGGCTTTAAACAAGCAAGCTATGAACAAAGTAGCAACTGACTGAGAAACACTGAAGTAAGAAAACATACAAAGTGATTTGATTGATTTTATAACCAGACTTCTCAGAGGCTAAACAGAGACTGCTGGAAAAGATGAAGTTCCACTTATGTCTTAACAAATGGCAGCTCACAATATTCTTAGATACTCATGTCTTTAGTTATAGTACCAATTTTCTTTTATAAATGCTGCTCCTTTGTTCTGTGCGAAAACGAAGAATTCTGCCAATGTTCTATATCTTATACATATTTAATTTTTAATTACTAATGTGTGTAGCATTAGCAGTTTTGATAGATGTGTTATCAGGAGGTCTCAGATTGGTATTTCTATTATGATTCATCTTCCACAAGTCAGCATATGGTAGATTGTTGGGTCTCTTCCATATCTTCATTTTGTGATAATAGTTCTGGTTTAGTTAATTAAAATTGCAAGGTTGCTATTTTTCCAAAGAGTTTATATGTGTGTAGTTTGCACTGTTGTTTCATAGGCTATCTGAAACAAACTCTGGTTTCGCTACTGAGTGTTTGTTTGCTGTTTCTAAGGAAAAAGGTATTATCTTCATGGTTAGACTCAATGAATCTTTTGTTCTTGATTTTCCTAGTGAAACTAGTAGCAAAATAATCATTCAATGTAGTGTTTGGGTTTTATTTGTTATTCTGTTATTATTCTTAAGTAGTCATATCCCTCAGATTAATAGTAAAGGCAGTTGGTTTGTGTTGATTTAAAGTTGTCTTTGTATGTCCAAGAACAGCAAACTCTGTTATAACAAAAATTTACTATGCTGCTCAATTTTCGATTTGAATGTTCAAATTGCTGTTGAGCTAATTTTATACCTTTACCAGCATAAAGAATTTAAATGTTATATATTTATGTTTAATGCTGTGAAGAAACTGTGTGAATACAATATTCAGAGGCAGTTCAGAAAACTAGCAGTTATGATGTGCCCAGTCGTTAATACTCTACCTACTCTACCTGTATTGATTTTCTGTCTCTCACAGTGACTTTGTAGATGTCTAGATAAGTAATTATTGTAATGTAGATTAAATTTTAAAGCTTTTGCAGTTCTATTGGAAGACATTACAGAATTTTCATACCAACAACTTGGGGAATTTGGCTGATATTTTACTAGTCCTTTTGCTGAAAAGGTAAAAGAATAGAATGCACATTTTTGTCATGTGTATTTTAATACATACTAGTTCATACTTAAAATGTACAACACTGTGTGAGCAGTTTTCAGTTTGTAATGTAGTACATATCATAAACATTCTTCAGCAATTCCTCCACAAAAAAGAGTAAGCTCTTCTGTTTAGAAGCAGTGTATAAAACATAGCAACTGGAGTGAATGTTTAGAAATGGTAAACAAAGAGGAGAAATTCACAGGAGTTTTTCTGTCAAAAACTTGAAGAAACAGCTACACAGTATTCTAGAGAAGAAAAAGATAAATTAATTAACAGCTAAAGGCTTTAATTAATAATAATTAATTATTTAATAATTAAATAAATCTTAAGGGCTTGCTGTAACTTTAAATATGATCAGTTAAATTCAGTATGTTGTCTCATGAAATCATGACTCGTATTTCACATGGACAAAGTATGAAGGTATATTAGTGTGACATTAAATGACTGTAGCAATAGTGTTAGGATGGACTTGTACATGGAGGTTGATTAGGATGATTATTTAATATTGAAGAAAGTGGTTGAATTTATAAGAAGCATCATTCAGTGGTAAATAGATCTCAAGCATAGATATGTGTTGGATGGAGAATGGCTTGAGAACAGCCCTGAAGAGAAGGATCTGGGAGTGTTAATCTATCAGTTATTCAATATGAGCCAGCAATGTGTGCTTGCAGCCCAGAAGGAGAACAGTATCCTGGCTTGCATCATAAGAAGTGTGACCAGCATGGCAAGGAAGGTGATTCTGCCCCTTTGCTCTCGTGAGAGCCCACCTGGAGTATTGTGTCCAATTCTGGAGCCTCCAATACAAGAAGGATATGGAGCTGTTAGAACGGGTCCAAAGGAGGGCTTTGAAGGTGGACAGAGGGCTGGAGCACCTCCTTGGAAGGACAGGCTGTGAGAGAGCTGTGGCTTTTCAACCTGGAGAAGAGAAGGATCTGAGGAGACCTTATAGTAGCCTTCTAATTCCTGAAGGGGGCCTACAGAAAAGCTGTGGAAAAACTTTCTGCAAGGGCAGGTAGCAACAGGACGAGGAGAAAAGGTTTTAAACTAGAAATGGGTAGATTCAGACTATATATTAGGAAGAAATTATTTACTATGAAGGTGATGAAACACTGAAACATGTTGCCCAATGAGGTTGTGGATGCTCCCTCCCGTTCAAGACCAGGCTGGACAGGGCTTTGAGCAAGCTGGTCTAGAGGGAGATATCCCTGACAATAGCAGAACTAGATGATCTTAAAGGTCCCTTCCAACCTAAACCATTTTATTATTCTGTGGAACAGTGTGACTGTTTCAAAAAAAAGTTACTCTATGTTAAGATGAGACTGTTTGAAAGAAGCTGTACCTTTGTAGTCTGTAACGGATTTATTAGAGTAAGTTTCTGAAATAATATGTAGTATATTACGTAAAATATATGTAGTATATACTAAATAATATTTAGTATGAGGCTAAAAAAACCAACAACTCATAGTTAACCTGTGTCCACTGCTTCCTTTTACTCTCCAAGTACACTGTAGTATGGTATTATGGTATTTTTTTATAGCTTACAATTAATATGGTTTCATTGAATACCGTAACTAATCCCACTAACCAAAATGTGACTAGCTGATGAAGTGGCAAGTGATGCATTCACTCTACAACATTATAAATGAAAGTATTTGAATTTAATGCAAAACATATGTGTATATATATATGTGTGTGTGTGTTCTGATTTTGATATTGCAGGAAACAGCATACTCCATTCAGCTGCGGACAGTGTGACAAGTGCAGTACAGAAGGCAAGTCAGGCTTTGAATGAGCGTGGTGAAAGGCTAGGTCGAGCAGAAGAAAAGACGGAGGAACTGAAAAACAGTGCTCAGCAGTTTGCAGAAACTGCACACAAGGTAAGATTTTGGTAGAATAAGGTTCTCAGTAGTTAAAGTCATACATTCCTTTATTGAGAAGGGAGGAATGTCTTGAAAGAATTGCAGACAGTCATTGTTTATGATCTCTTTGCTTTCTCACTGACTCACTCACTGGAGATAATTCTGTCCCTCAAGGGTCAGTGCTGGGAGGAATACTCTGTAATATCTTCATCAGTGACACTGCCTGTAGGGTTGAGTGCACCCTCACCATGTTCTCTGATGATACCAGGCTGTGGGGTGCAGTCAACACACAAGAAGGACAGGATGCCATCCAGGGGGATCTAGATGCTTGAGCAGTGGGCCCAGGTGAACCACATGAGGTTCCTTCCAACTCTAAGGATTCTGTGATTCTTTGTAATTGTTCCTTATTTGAGTGATTTCTGCTTTGTAACTACTTCTGTGCATAGATCTGTAGCCAAACTCCTTGGAAAAGAGATCAAACCTTAAGATAAAGAGTTACAGCTGTATTATCCAATTATTTCCATCCCACTAATTAAAAAAAAAAGGTACTTATAACTTAGAAAAAAGTAACCTGTTTGACGTACAGGTAGCTAATGCTAAATTAAGACACGGAATTTTTGGTCAGATTAATTACTCCACTTTAAAGCACTTGTATAATTCTAGTTAGTACTAAGAATATACAATTTTTGGCTTTTAGCACATCTTCCTTGGGCTTCCAAAACCTATGTACTTGTTGCATGAGTCTGGTTTTCATGGTAAAAGAAAGAAACTGGCCTACATCTTGGTGGATAAAAGGCTTTTGGCTTTATTGTATATGCGCCAAACAATCCTTTAGGATGAGTTGCACCAAGGGATGTACAAGTTGGATATTAGGAAGTATTTCTGCTCACAAAGAGTGGTAGTCCACTGGAATAGGCTGCTCAGCAAAGTGGTGGAGTAAGCAACCATCCCTGGAGGTTTTGAAGGAAAGTGGATGTGGCAGTGAGGAACAGTGGACAATAGTGGTGATGGGTTGACAGACTAGATTATCTTAGTGGTCTTTTCTAGCTTCAGTAATTGTATAATTCTTTATTACATTTCTAGTAATTAGTATTACATTTCTAGTATGTTAGTGCTAGAAATCTTGGATTGTTCCCTTTCAGATCTATACAAATCTCTCTCTTATACGCTCATGAACACAGAACAACTCCATCAAAAAAATAGTTGTCATCTTTTTTGAATTCAAGGATAAGTCTTATTAAATGTAATATGGTTTTTTGCAATATTTTTTCTTAAAATATTTTCTGTATTGTTTCCCTAAACCTTGAATTGCATATTGCAGTATGCAGTAGTTCTGCAATTCTGCATCTGTTATCTCACAAAAATGCATAAGACTGCTACCCAGCAGTGTATTTTATTAGGAAGACTTGATTTTTAGCAGAAATGGTGAACACTTTTAAGCAAATCAGAGTTTTTGTTTTGATTGCCTTATAATAGCTAAAGGTTGCCTTCAGTAAAGAATAAGAATTAAAATTGTCAGCCCATAATTAATTTCATCACTATAGTATTATGACTGAATAAGAATTTCTCTTACCGCTTAATTTGTGCATGTCTGGATGTCATTTTAGCTATGTCTCAGGCTGTTTTAATATATATGCAACCTCATGCACATGGTAGAAGATTCAAGGCATGGGAATGATCTTTCTAGCTTGTTTAAAATATATCTTAGTCATCTGATGGCAGAAAAAAAAAATTAGTTTGCACTAGAAACAGTGTACCATACAGAGTGGGCTTACTTACTTAAAGTCTTGAACTTAGTTCAGGGTTTCTCCTCAAGTTCTCCTCATGATAGTGTTTTTTAACCTTCTTTCTCTCTGAAAAATTGCCCATGCTGGTGAATGCATAGAAGGTGAGATTCTGTATAAAAATATTTGCTGTCAGATTTGCTTACTAAAGTATAATTTTCCTGAAAAATCTCTGATTTTAGAGTGTTGAGAAGAACACATTGGTTGTACTTTTTATATGTTGAAATTTTTATCCAGTATGTCTCTACAAATCAGAGTTTTCAAAAACAGTGCTTGAGTATAAAAGGTTTCTATCACTTCAGTTTGAGTCATTTATTGATCACTGTCAGGAAATTAGGAAATTTTAACTGCATGTACTGATTTTGCTTTCGAAATAACTTCGAAGACGGTTCAATCATCTCATCTTTCTGTACCATGCTGTTATGTACAGATATCATTTTTATATTATATGAAATTTAAAACAAAGTTCTTTACGTGCTTTGGCAAAATCAGTTTTTCTGCAGTTTTTATATGGCTTTCATCTCGTGTTAGCTTTGCTTTATTCCTCTTTTACCAGCTTTCAGTCCATTTTTTATTACTTGGAATTGAAATATTCAGTAATTGCAGAGGCAGAAAGAAAATCTTTTTTCATCATGTAATGGCAGAGCTGCTGGACAACTCTTAAAATTACCTGTATAGAATTACACATTGGACTTAAATAATTTAGTATTACTTTTATTACATGTGTGCCTCTATTTCTGGGCTCTTGCTAATACATACAGCCATCATAATGTATAGCAAAAGAATAGAACACTGGGAAACACAGCTCTGAAATCAAATAGATCCTTTATTTCATTTTTCTTTTTTTTTTCTTTTCAGCTTGCAATGAAGCACAAATGCTGAGATACTGCCCAAAGTTGAAATATTCTCGAAAGAAACTGAAAAGCCTAGGTTGAGCAGTTTTTACAGGAGATGAAGACTTGTGTGTGTTTTTTTTTCATTCCAGTTCAGTGGAGATGCATTCTTTCAGCTTCCGTGCAGGAAAAGATGTTGCTTTTCTACCTTTTTGACTTACATTTTGTTCCTCTTTTGTAATACTGCAACACAATCTTGCAGTACTTTGTACCTCTATTTCTGTTTATTACAGGAGCTAAAGTGAACAAGGGAGCTGGACCAAATGACAAAGTTGATCCGAATTAAAATAGTAATATTCTTTGCCAGTACTCCTCCCTGGTATTGCATAGAAGAGTATTTTAATTAAGTGCAGACATACATGCAGAAATAAAATCCAAAGAAGGGATACACGTTTCTTGAATTTATGTAGCATCAGCAGAATATGAGTGTTGGAATTAAACACATGAGGATTTAACTGTGGTGGAGAATACTGCCTTGGGAAACAGAAAACTTGTTTAGCCTACCCAGTGTAGAAAGTTTTGCATGTACCAACACCAGCATTCTGAAGGGCATATCTGAATTTCACAGGGGAATCTGTTTCCAGTGCTGCATTTTGAATATTTCTATTTTAACTTCCAGATGGATTGTTTGAAGAGAAAAATGAAAGAAACATACAGTGAATGTATGTGTGATGTTTCAAAACTGAGGAAAAAGAAAATGATAAATCTATATATATAGCTGTGCCTCAGAAATAAACCAGTGTCTAGCAATCTGGTGTAAAGTAACATCTCATATTATTTTTTAGCAGAAGCTTCAGTCTTCATCTTCTGGAGATGCATGCACTTTAAAAGCAATGCACTTCAGAAACATTTGTCCTCATCTTACTGGAGAGCCAGAGAACTGGCATTAAATGAATGCACTTTGGTTTTCACTTTCAGTGTAGAATAAGATATTTCCATTGTTAATGACACTTTAAACAATCTGAAGCCCTCCAAGCAGTGCTAGACAAAAGATAAAATCTTCTGTCACAATTAAGATACTTCAATTACCACAAGCTGATGTAACTGAAGTTCTGGCTTGGAAATACTCATGTTGTAAAAAGATGTTTGTCTTTAGAAAAACTTTAAGACATTACATTCTTATGGCTACATTCAAAATGTGCATCTATTTTTTAAATAATTAAGCTGTTTTAATGATGCTTATCATTTAACCCAACACTGAAAACTGACAGAAGGTGTATTTTTTGTCATCTATGTAGTACCATACAATCATTTATACAGATTTAGCATCATTAAATTGATAAGAATTTTCTAAATTCAGATAGAAATATAATAGATTTTCAGACTTTTACATGAATTTCTGCTGAAGAGGTGAAGGTCACAGTTGCACTGCTAAGTTCCAGATCTTTTGTGAGTTCAACTGCTCTAAAACACTGCTTTAATCCCAATGGCAGTTCTTCAGGATTTTTTTGTATATCCTCCAGTTAATAGTATTGTGTTATGTATCATAACTCAGGACTTTTATTCAGCCATAAAAAGCCATTTACTATCAAAATTCTGAGTAACTTAGTGTTACTAAATGAAGGAAAAGGGGGTTATTTATGTATTCACCTTCTTCTTGCTGTTCATTTAACTACTAAATTTGGTAGTTTGTAGAAAAAGAAAAAGAAAAAAAAAAAAAAAAGAGGTGTATAAATGTCCATACAGAGATAAATCTTATAGCATTGCAATTTCCTCCTGGAAATCAGTTTGTAGCATATACAACATAGTATTATTAGATAGTGATGTACATAACGTATACTATAATTCAGGTTAGTGTTTCACATGAAAGAATGTATTTGTAAATTGTAACAACATCAATAGTTTATCTTTTTAAAGTTCTGCAAGGAAAAAAATAATGCATTGTTAGACTTGAAACTACTGTGCTGCAAATTCTGTCTTAAAAGGCTATTTTTGAGTCAAGAGTAGTTGTGCATTATGTGAAATATTAACAAAAAATTGTTCCTAAATTGTTGGTAGGTTTTGCTATGATTTACCAAAATTGTAATAGTTGCTGGTATCTATGTAACCAATTCCTCAAAAGTTCTCAGAGATGTAGAAATTTTGTGCCATTCTGGGAAAACAAAAAGTGGGACCTGCTCTCTTGTGTGATTACTGGAAATCCTATTTTTTTTTTTTTTTAATTTTTTGTCATTAAATACTTCAAATGTGGTCAAAACAAAACTGTCCTTGGATTATTTTTGTTGTCTACTTGAAAAACAAATGATTTGTAAATAATGCTTTCTTTCATCTTACTCTCACTTTTTGTTCAGTTCTGCTGGAAATATAGTTCTTTTAGTGTTCACTGGAATGATGAAATCTGTTTTTATAAAGAATACTGTAATAAAATTTTTTTTAAAAGTAATGGGAGCTAGGTAGAAGGACATTCCAGACCCTGCTTAACACAGGTAATTATTCTACCTAAAAGATATAGGATAAAAATAATTGTTAATTTTGTCTGTTTGCTGTAAAATGCTTACTCACAAATTGTTATTCTTTCTTTCATCAGTCTACAAAAGAAATTCACCTTGAGCTATGGGAATACAAAATTATGAGGGTGATGTTCTATAAACATAGAAGCAATTCCATATATTAAAATGAGGACTGCTTGTAGAATTATATCAAGTATGAACTGACTGCCACTATCACTTTTTTTTAATACCTTAGGGGCGCTAAGATCCTAATCTCGAAATGCAGTGTAGACAAATATAATCAAATGATTGAAGTACATTTTTAGGAAAAAAATATTGCTAGAATGCTTGTCGTCTATCTGCTATTCAATATCATATACATGCATGATGCCCAAGCTGAATGAAAGTTGCAGTAAAAGAAATAGTTCTCTGGTGGATCAGAACAGATATTAATCAGAAGAGCATTTTTTTTTAATAATTCCTATTGTAATTCAGCTAGTGTAATGCAGCTCATTATTGTAAATGTATTCAGTGTATTTGGTTCATTGTTTGATCATTTTTAAAATCAGTTTTACCACACTGACTCTTTTCTGAATCTTAGTATTTTTCATAAAAATCACTTATACTGGTGAGCGGATGAGTGAAAACTATTCGGTATTCACTAAGGTATCTCACTAAGCTCAAGTGAGCCAAACAGTGCCCAGGGAAGAGAACGGCAGTGGTAGAGATCTTGTGATTAGTATTTTTGCACAAGTCACTGGAGTACCATGCGTGATTTAACCAGCTTTTTGTTGCAAAATTTCTTCAGAGTGTTTCTGAGTAGTTTTTAAAAGTATGTACGGGGAAATGAGTACCCTAGGTTATCTGGATATCTGTTCATTTTTGTTGCTTTCCCATGTGCTGTTTTTCACTTTTTTTTTTTCTTTTTTTTTTTTTCATTTCAGTCAAGCTGGAAACAGGTCTGCTAAAAAGCAGAGCACTCAAACAGCTTGTCAGGTACTATTCTTCACTGAGACGATAAACAACTGCAGAGCTGCCATAACTGAAATAATAGCTGTACATACAGGATTGTAAGACAAATGGTTGAGATAGTTAAACAGTTGTATAACATTTATCTGCCAGACAAGGTTTCATTCCTCTTAGCATGCACTCATAGGGAAAGCATTGTTAACTGTTAGTTGTTGCTGATTAACTCATATTAGAGACCTCAGTAGAAGTGATTTTAATCTAAGAGTATTTTATATAGCAATGGCACTGATAGAGGAAAAGGAGGTGGAAAGAGGAAGGATATGTTTTCACATTCCTTGACTGGTGATGCTTCCTAGGATCCTCCCCTCAGGTTTTGTGTGACACAGTAAATGTACGAGGTTATTTGTGGCTTCCTCCACAACTCTGGCTGTCTTTCCTTTTTCCTGCTTTTGTACAGTCTTCCCATACTCAATAACGATTTTCTGTCCTGTTATCTCGCTTGCAACTCCCTCATCCAGAGAGGTAGCTCCACAGTTACCTCTCATCCTTTAAGACCATCGCATAGTAAGATGTTTTGCACTCCCTTGTCCTTTTGGTGTTTAAAACCTCATGTTCCGTTGTTGGATGTAGCTTGATACTGTCTGTAGATGAAGAAGGTGTAGATATGTACTGCACATAAAATGAAAACACTCAACGAGGCCAAAGTTAAAGTGTTTCAGAAGGTCTGAAAGGATTTGGGAGGACAAGATTTATTAAAAGTCAGAAGATCATAGTGCTGGGCTACCCAGCAATAAATAACCTTGTTATTACAGCTTCACTTTGAAAAAAAAGCCTTTAACAAATTTAAGGAAGAATCATCTATCTTGAATGTATGTAGGTTGCTCAGAAAGTAATGCCTCCTATTTATTTCCATGGAAACTACAACAGATACAAAGATCACGAGAGCACTTTTTGGTAGAGTGAATTCTCAGCTACAAAACATTGTTTTTTAACATTGTCACCACCATTAACAGGAGATGATACTTCCAGAGCAGCCTTCATAGCATTTTTCCACCCTTCTGTGTCAAGAATTCTAAGAGAAACATCAACTTATTTCACATACACATTAACATTATGGAGGTAAGTGTTCTATTCCTGTCCATTGTTTTACTATAAATTAGAGATCTGGAACTGTAAAACCCAGATCTCCTTATTCCTAGTTCATTATGTTGTAATTGAAAACATTGTATTTATTCTTTTCATTGTATTTATGCGTGATTCACGCATGTGGTGAAAGAATCAGAAAAAAAAGTAGACTTCTTGCAAGCACGCTTTTTTTTCATCCTGCTCCAGCAATATCATCTCTTTGATAGTGCACAGTATACACTGTCTGTGAAATGCAACTTGTGGCAAAATCTTTCTGTAGAGAAAGAGTCCAAGAGGAAGAAACACTAGAGAAAAGCTGGGCTGAGAAAGCATCACTTCTCTGCTTGAGTTTTACCAGCACTGGAAGAAGCTCTCAGCTCTCAGGCTAAAAGCATTTGTATGACTGCAGTGAAGGAACCCAGTTTAAAGTCTTTTAGAGGAATGCTCTGTACATCTCTTTTTGTTGTTCACAGGCCTCAGCAGCTGTGAGGAAAAACTGGCTCTCTTGTGTTCAAGCAACTCTTACAGATGCTAGGTTAGTGTAAAGAACAAAAGCATCTGTGTGTCAGACCAACACAGAATGCATTGTTATTGTCAACTTTCATTTAAAAATGCCCTTGAAAGGCACATGAACCCTCCCTTCTATAAGCATGGAAGATATAATTCAAGAAAAGATAATAAAAATTTAAAAATATTCATATTCTGAAGTACTGTAATGGGATTAGCTGAACAATTCATATCACAGACAGTGATGTAGTTATTTTGAAGAAATGAGGATTTACTGTAAAACATGGCCCTCAAAGGACTGCAAAACCCTATTTGAGGGATGATGTGACAGCCTGAAAACAGTGTGATTCATGATTGCCAAGAGAGAAATAAGGCAGTTATGTAATGTTAGATTTCCTAAGATAATGCAGAAAATTTACAAATATGGAAGTGGAGAAAGCTCATTGTATAACACTGAATAATTCATCATTCTCTAACAAACAGCGTTGAACTCTATTCTCTGATGCACTCATAATTACAAGAACTGGACCATTTTCGGGTTGCATATACTAAACTGCAAGCAACTTTTTCCTTCTTAATCAAATGCTAATCTAGTTTCAGAGGGTTTACTTTTCCTTTCATTTGGGTTACACATGTTCTCACCCATTAAAAACACAAAACACTATTCTTTGGCCATCTTTTCCATACAAAACACGTCTTTGCAATGTTAGTATTTTAGTATTTCACTCTGCCAAGTTTCCTTGCCCTGCAGGGGGATTACGTTTCAGCTATTCCTTTCACCAAATCTGGAATTCTTTGATTCTGAGTTTTGTAAAACTTTTACTACTTGAATGAGATGAGTCTCTTATTTTCTATTTTATTATTTATTATTCTTATTATTTCTTTAACTGCAGTTTCTGTATGTTAACATTGTAAGATTCACGACTCATACTACTAACTATATGCCTGAAATGACTTACCAATCTAGAGTAGTGTTAGCAAGTTTCTATCAGACACTATGTTAAACAAGACAGGAATTAATATTTATTGTTATATAGAATTTAAATCTGTGTCTTTTTCTATTCTAAAGACTGTAAAGAAGCAGACTGATATTATGCAAGACAGATTTCTAGATATCCCTGATGCAAATAATTGCACTTGCGATTTGACTTGGGGAATAACTGTCAAAGTTGCTTCAGGATTTTTCATTCCAAGCGAGTCAATGTAAAACAATGATGGAGAAGTTTGGGGAATGGTAGTAATAAAGTGTTTTATTTTTTCAAATTTAAAGGAATGAAGAGAATGATTGGTTGGAATCTCCAAAGAGTGCTGAGCAGAATGTTCTAGGCAGGGATAATATGTAAAGGTTGCTTTGTATCAGCTCAGATGTAGCCTTGTTTGCATAATCTTAGACTCCCTAGACAATTTTTATGCTTTGTCAAAAGATGCTGTGTAGAGTTACAGGTTCCTGCCAAATCTACAACTTAATTGCTTCTACTGTTTCATTCTCATTATCCTTAGACTCATAGAAAAAGTGAAATTCAGACAGAACACTGAAAATCCTCCTTCTAACATTGGAGCTACACTGAACATCCACATTCAACTACACAAAAACACAAAAGACAAGATAAACATAGTCTTTTCTTAAATCCTGCTGATGGGTAGACCATGGAATTGTATGGGTAATTAAAGTTATGATGAGCAACAAATAATTTTTTTAAATGAGTCAAGGCACGATAATTAGTGTGTCTTAGTGGATCAATTTGTAGTTATAATTAATCACTGCAGTCAGTTTCAGACAAATTTGGGTTAACTTAACATCTCAATGAATTTACAAACAAAACAATGCTGGAATGACACCAGCATGAGGGAGCCTCTGTGTGCGGGATTTGTTTTGATCTGTTTTAGACAGCTTTTTATTCCAATCTCCGTAGTTGTATATTCACAGTTTTCTATGAAAATAACAACTTATATATAATATATATAAATAACTCTCACTTGTGTACTGTCCACAGAGCTTAAAATTGACTGTGAACTTCTACAAGACTCATTCACACCCACCTATCACCTGTTTATGTCTTTGTATGGAAAGGAAAACAATTCACAGGTGCACAAAATGAAAACGTACAGATTTTGTTACACATATGCACACAAGCACATAAAACATATTGTCAGTACAACAGATTTCTAAAA